CGCGTGAACAGGTCCTTTGCATCCTTCACCAGGTATATGGCCGCCCCCGGCTGGCCGCTGCCATAGACGGCCTCCCCCATCGCCCCCGCGCCGTCCGCAGAGCGCACGTGCAGCGGGACCGCGAGGCGGTCGGACACCTCTGTGTAGACGAGCTCCCGCACGGCCTCCTTGCCGCCGGTGTGGAAGGCCTAAGGGGGCAGACGGGGGGTGCGGGGCGTTGCGCGAGGGTGCATGGGGCTACGCAAAGTGCTGGCTGGCATTGGGAACGTGGGAGGCTGAGCGCGGCGCCGGCAAAAGTCAGCGGGCGCAGCGTTCGAAGGTATGCAGCCTGCTGGCGGCGCTGAAAACCACTGCATTCGCCGGCGAAGGCCCGCGGCAGCTGGCTGCGCTGCTGCTCCGCCCCGCGCTTGCGAGCACCTAGCTCGGCCGAGGTGAAGCTTTGCCATGTGTGAGGCCTTCTGCCCCACGCCTTTCCTGCGCGCCAACATCACAACACGTTGTGGGTCCGCGCCCCCCCGTAAGCACTCTTCGCCGGCCCCGCGCCTCCAAACCCCCCTTGTGTCGCAGGCGCCCACCTCAACAATGCGCTCCGGCATAGCGTCAGCAAACTGGTCCGACGACAGCCCCAGCAGCTCGAAGAAGTTCATGGATGCCATCATGGCTGGCCCAGCTCTGCTTTGCGGCAGTCAAGCCCCGGCCGGGCCCGCTGCCGCGTCCGGGGGACGGTGAGGAGCAGCGCCGTGTCGCGGTGCTCGCGCGGTGCCCCTGGTGCCGGAGCACGGCGCTGTCCGGCCTGCAAGCTCGGCCGCTGGCACACTGCCCTTGTGCCTTAGCTCTGAGCGATTGAATGCCCCCGACTGGGGAACGAGAGCTGTACGCAAGGGACGCGGGATGGCCTGCCCTGGGCGGTTCCAACAGGCGCTGATCTGCCAGCCCACAGGCTGCAATGTCGGCTCTAAACACAGCCACACGCCGCCGGTTGACGATCAGGCCCGGCTGAACGTCCGATCTGCGTGCGTCGTTGTACGCTCGCGGCTGGAATGCTTCGAAACGTAAGACTTGCGTGCAATAGTTTAAGGAATATGAGTGCGGCGCACGCAAGCAAGGATTTCCAAGAAGCGTTGGCTCATTGGTGTGGCTTGTGGCGGCAAATGGGACCCGCAATGAACAATGACGGTTTGCCCTCCCAGAGCAATTCAGCATGCACCAAGGGTGTCACGAGTTCATATGCAATGTATCCAGGACCTCACACCCAGCAAAACCTTGAGGTCGTCAAATTCGACCGCCACCCCTCGCCACTCCCATGTCTGCAGCTGGGCAACAACATGCGCCGATGTTTGGCTGGTGTCGCCCTGCCCGCTTGGCTGCCACCCCGTGGGATATGCTTGTCAACGACACGGTATTGTAATACGAAGTAGTGGAGCACCAGATAGCACCAGATGTTTTGCGCATGGCTGCTGTCGCAGGCATGCTGGTAGCCTCTTGGGAACGCCGTCCCGTCGCAACCCTGCAGGCGGCTTACACATGTGAACACACAAGCCACGCATTGCTCGCGTACAGTTCAAGCCCCTTAAGCGGACCCTGCTTGGGCAGCGCGGCGAACGCCGAGCTGGCGCCCTGCTCTTTGCGAGGGCTGACGCGCCTAATCCACGTGGGAGCCCGCCTTGAAGGGACCAGCAGGTGCGTACGTCGGCGGCGCAGCCGGCGCCCCGTAATACACAGCTCCGCCCGCAGCCGCCCCGCTGCCGCCTGTGCCGCCCGGCGGCCCATACCGCTGGCTCGCCCCGCCCCCCGGCGCCCCGGGAAGGTATCCCCCCGGTGGCCCGCCCC